ACTTTTTGAAATACCATGAGGAGCGTTTTATACTCACCTAAGTCCGGCGCCTGTGTTCCCCGCCGGACCATTTCTAGTAATCCAACGCTGTAGATGGGCCAGTGCCAGCTAGATCCTGCCAGTCCACTCGCACTGGCATCATCACTTCAATCCATCTTCTGGACCTCGCTGTCACGGTGCGGCCATAAAAATATACTATTTTTTGGTCTCTTGGCATAAGACATCCTGAAACGTCAATGAATTTCTTTTAGTGACTGCTGTCTCCAAGCTAAACACACAATTTAAATATATCCTCGTTAACTGTCTAGTGTTAATTAAATCAAAGTTAGGTTTGTTGTGCTTCCCCAGCAGGGAACCATTTAGCAATGTATGTTCTTCCTTAATTGTCTAGACAAAATGTCTCTGGGTGAGCATTGTCACCAGAGGGAAAAGGTGTCACCTCACCTGGTGTGTATTTCAATGTTCAGAAGGCGTAAAAAACTTCATATCTCATAACTCCTGTCCCATACATGATATGATTGTAGAACCTTCAGGCAAAGAACGGTGGCACCAAGGTGAATCGTTTGGCACCAAATATCAGAGGTTTACCATAGAGGATGGCAAAGTTCTGATAATTGGGTCTCTTTAAGGTGTTTCTGGTTCTGTTAGCTGCAGAGTGCCGGAGTTTGGACTCTGCAGATAGCAGGGCAATAGCTGGAACCAGAGCCATCACTTTCGGATCCATAGTTCGTAAGTGGAAACAGTTATGAGGGTTCCGAGATGATGAATAGAAAAACAGTATCTGAGACCCAGGGGGTAATATTCCCTCTCCAGCCCCTTCGATCTGATTGGCTGATCTCAGGGGGTGGAAACTGGTTTTGATCTTCACTGTCTAATAATGGAGATCTGAAACCGACAAATCGCCACATTCAAGGGGTCCATTCACACATGGGAGTGTGTCCACGTTTTTCTATCCAACCCCGGAAGCAGGATTATTCAAAATTTCTGTAAGTTTTATACCCTTTTATTTCAGACTGTTGGCTTGTATGAATGTGTGTCTCACTTTGTAACATCTGCTTTTTGTAACTATCTTTTTCTATGCGCTGCCCGTCTGGGGTTATTAAATATAAAATAATAAGTTGGTTTTTGATTGCTGTAAAAGAACGCACGAATCTGAAGAGACTGTTGTGTGTCGGTTGCATGTGTATAGTCGATTGATTGTATCATCGGTGCCTTGAAGCTCAGTTGTAAGTCATTGCCAGGCAGGGATCTGTGTGTCTGATGTGGGCGTGTTTGTGGGCAGTGGAAGAAGTGGGTACGCCAAGATTCCAGCTTAGAAGATAGTTTAGGGGATCTTAGTGGGTGTGAGGAGACCACTTAGGCTGCCACACAACCAGTAGAGTACACTAGATTGTATGCCAGATTTGCATCTGCCTGTGTGTGTGTCCAGCCAGGTTGAGTTACATAGTTACATAGTATTTGAGGTTGAATAAAGACATTAGTCCATCAAGTCCAACCTATTAGGATCTCATTCTAGGAGTACCTGTACCCCTGTATATTACGGTCCCTTAAGAAATCGTCCAAAAGTTTCTTGAACAATTCCACATTATTTGCTGAAATCACTGTCTGTGGCAGTGAGTTCCAGACCCTAACTGATCTTACTGTGAAGAACCCCCTTCGCCCCTTGTGCTGGAATTTTTTTTCCACCAATTTTAGGTGGTGGCCTCTAGTTTTTGTAACGGAGTTAATTTTAAACAGTTTATCGCTAAAGTGAGTCTCCCTCTAGTGGTGGCTAGTGGTAGTGCAGGAGACTGTGAGTGGAGGTACTAACACTAGAGGTAACTGTGCCTGGTTTAGCTAACCTGTACCTGCTAGTGAGAGCGGTGTGTGTGGTCTGCAAAGCCTATGTGCCAGTCTGCTTGAGCGCAGAGTGTACGGACTAGGAGAGTCCAGGAAAAGAGAATCTATGGTGGGCTCTGCAGGGTCACCCTGAGGTGGGCTGGTCGCACTCCTTACCTGTCCACCTCCTCTTCCTCCTTGCTCGCTGATGGGCCCCGCCTCCGTCGCCGGGCGATTGTTACGCCACTGGTGCTACTGAAAGCGTGTTAAGGCAGTCCATTGAAAACAATGTGTGAAATTTCTTTTAGGCTATTGTGTTGCAAATTTTGTGACACGTGCAATTTTTGGGTTGTATTGGTGCTTTGGCAGCCCATTGGGGGAATTTATCAAAACTGGAGCAGACAGAACCTGGAGCAGTTGCCCATGGCAACCAATCAGCTTCTATCTTCAGTTTATTCAGTTAGGCTTTGAAAATTAAAGATAGAAGCTGATTGGTTGCCATGCGGTAGCTGCATCAGTTTTATTGTTTAAAGCCCATCTCTGGGCAAAACTAACCCATTTAGCACTTTTATTCTACTGAACCGAAGGGGTCCTGGGGCCGAAGGATCGGCCGAAGCTACGGCCAGATCCTTTGGCAGCTTCGTGAATAGACCCCTAAGGTGTCTATTTATAAAGAATTCACAGAGCCATTCGCCCTGCAAATCTCTGGGAAATTTGTTCTATGCAAATAATGGCAAAAACAAACATTTTAATAAAATAGGTATTAACCTCCCTGGCGGTATTCCTGAGTGTAGCTCGGGGTTACTTTTCCATACCATAAGCGGTAACCCCGAGCTACACTCAGGAATGCCACATAGCATTTCCTTACCTTGTCCCTCGAGCTGTGCTGTGTTCTCCGGCCGATGCCGGCATCCGTCTTCCGGGTTCCGTCCCTTGCGAGCGTACGCGTCGCAGGGGGCGGAACCGGCGGGATATTAAAAAAAAAAAACGACAAAAACTAAAAAGATTCGAAAAAAAAATAGACCGAAAAATGACACGAAAATAAGAAAAAATCATACCGCCAGGGAGGTTAATTTCCTATGCTTCTCAGCTTCATCTAGTGGCCATAATGCGATGTTTTCTGAATTTTACATTCGACCTGAAAAGAAAATATACTAAGAAGGTTTTATTTTCGCATCATTCACACGGAACAAATGTTCACAGAGATTTGAAGAGCGAATGGCTCTGCAAATTCTTTAGAAATAGTCCCATAAAAGTGTTGAACAAGTGTTAAGAGCACAGGGTCAGCACTCCCCATGGGTATTCATTGAGGGTCAACCCAGCGAATAGTATTCTTAAATGTGCTCAGTGAATGTCAAGGGAAAGTAACAGGTACAGGGTAAGTAACATTTACTCTTTTATAAGTAGAACAAATATTACATTAATCACATTTATCTAAGCAAGAACAGATGTTGCTGATTGTCAAGGAATACATTTTTGTCAGGTGAATATTGGGTGAATGTGCTTTATGAATTAAATATCACCCAGTTAGTGTTAGACATATACCTCAGAGGAAAATACCTCCTATCACCCCCTATACACCACAATCGAGGTTTGCCTAAATGATCATTGATCTATGCATGTGAAATACAACATCATAGGCAACTCAAAAGAAACAAGTATTGATTGATTATAATAGTAGACCTCGGGTGGAAAGAACAATGCTTATAATGCTGATGTATTGCTTGCAATGCTAGAGGATCAATGCTTGTAGTCTCAACGCGTTTCGCACCATGGGGCACTTCATCAGGAGGGGAGGGAGGTAGTCCCTTCAGTGTGAGGTCAACAAGTGCTTGGCACAGGCATGGAACGGACCAAGAGACGGTCCTCCACCTGGAACCGCCGATGTTTGTGGGGCCGTTGCACTGAGTGCAGGGCTGGCAACGGCCCCACAAACATCGGCGGTTCCAGGTGGAGGACCGTCCCTCCAGCTGCCCTGGACCTTCCACTTTACTGGATCTTTCCTCACCTCTGGACACTCTCTCAACCCCATCCCGTGGAGTCCAGGCCCAGTTTGGCTGTGCCCATCCCACCTTCCTCCACCCTGGGTCCACATGCCCTTGGTCCGTTCCATGCCTGTGCCAAGCACTTGTTGACCTCACACTGAAGGGACTACCTCCCTCCCCTCCTGATGAAGCGCCCCATGGTGCGAAACGCGTTGAGACTACAAGCATTGCTCCTCTAGCATTGCAAGCAATACATCACACCCATAAGCATTGTTCTTTCCACCCGAGGTCTACTATTATAATCAATCAGTACTTGTTTCTTTTGAGTTGCCTATGATGTTGTATTTCACATGCATAGATCAATGATCATTTAGGCAAACCTCGATTGTGGTGTATAGGGGGTGATAGGAGGTATTTTCCTCTGAGGTATATGTCTTTTTACATTTTTCATGCATATCCAATGCTTTTTAAAGAATTATATATTTGTTCAATAAATTTCTATCTTTTATATACCTACGAGACAGTAAGGCCTGGAGCTATGGAAAGCAGAGGAATGAGCGCAAGGCCTGCATGACAAGCCTGGGAAGTGGAACGAGGACAAGAAAGGGTTAAGGAGGGATAGAAGAAAGGGTATAGAAAGGTCACCTACTTGATTGGTGGAGGGGGGTGGTCCAGGAGGGGCTTCAGGAAAGTTAGCCAGAGAGGGGGTGTCCGGAAGGTCAGTTGGGAGTCCTGCAAGAGAGGAAGATTGGCCAGGGCATCGTGGAGGTTGGCCCGGTCGGTTGACCGACTGAACCGGGCTCGCATTAAAGTAAACAAGGAGGTGGGGCGTTTCGTGTCCCGTAATGGGGGTGTGGTTGTGCGCCACTTGGAGTTGGAAGTAGATACTTGGCAGTATTTGAGGAGGGATGGGGTGCATCTGAATGCAGTGGGCACGGACTTGTGGTGCTTGGGTTTACAGGATGGGCTGCAGCGGGCTGTTCGGTTGTGGAGGGGCGCAAATGCGTGAGGTGTCCCGCTTTTGCGCTGTGGCGGTTTGGATCCTTGGAGGCAGTGGTTAGTGGGTACGTATCTGGACGGGGGACCCATCCGTGGTATGGGTGTCCTCCAGTAGTCGGACGGTCAGATTGGGATGACCGGTAAATATGGGACCAACGTGGGTCTGCGGGCAATCTAGTTACGTCCCCGAGGCGGTGTATGGCGGCTGGGGACATTCGGTTACAGAAAGGTGCCCGCAGATACTGGTCCAGTTATGGAGTACAATTGCCTTCAAGGACCCTGAAACCAAACAAGTTGGTACAGGAGTTTGGTGTTAATATTGTTAATATGTTATTTATAATGTTATTTATAAGTGTTTTTAATAAAAGGCTGCTGTGGCCATTTAAATTCCCATCCACCCGCCCCATAGGAGGTGGTATGTGTTTCTGGATATTTGTCACAGCTGGGGGTTGGCGGTTTGGATCCTTGGAGGCAGTGGTTAGTGGGTACGTATCTGGACGGGGGACCCATCCGTGGTATGGGTGTCCTCCAGTAGTCGGAGGGTCAGATTGGGATGACCGGTAAATATGGGACCAACGTGGGTCTGCGGGCAATCTAGTTACGTCCCCGAGGCAGTGTATGGCGGCTGGGGACATTCGGTTACAGAAAGGTGCCCGCAGATACTGGTCCAGTTATGGAGTACAATTGCCTTCAAGGACCCTGAAACCAAATAAGTTGGTACAGGAGTTTGGTGTTAATATTGTTAATATGTTATTTATAATGTTATTTATAAGTGTTTTTAATAAAAGGCTGCTGTGGCCATTTAAATTCCCATGGTTGTGTGGTGTAGTTATTGGGAAGTGGGTAATGTAAAAGGGACCTCTGAGCTACCTAAGTCATGAAGTTTATTGGACTTGTTCTTTCTGGAGCCAGCAAAAAACCCCATCTTTCTCTGTCCCTTTTTTTATTACAATTTAACCAGGGGTTGGCCTCCAGAAAGGAAGGATCTGTGCATCATAAAACATTTTCGCTTGTGAATGGAGAAAGTATAAGTCCCATCAGCCACCGAGGCAGTGGGACTTGTAGTTCTTAATGGAATTCAAGTGTTGTGACATCAACACATGTGCAGGTCCATTCATTCTTGCTCCTGGCAATGTTATTGAATGTCTGTACCTCAGTACAAACATGGACCAAAGGAAGGATCTGCAGGAGCCCGAGCATTGCACCTGCGATCCACTGATCGCCATTTTTTTTACTGGCTCCAATGCAAAAATATAATAAATGCACTTTTATTTTATAAATCTGTGTACATTTATTATTTTTCTCAACTTTTATATAGGGATTGAAGATACTGTGGCAGGCACTGGGGAAACCTAGCATAAGACATTCTATGTTTGGCAACCTTTGATCCGTAGAAAATGATCATGTCGGTGGCCCATGGCACAAGAACATCGCCCCACATACTCAAGATAAACACCTCAGGGCCAAAATCAGGGCAGAGAAGTGACTTCCAGAGGCAGAAAAGCATATATTTATCCACGGGGTGTGGCAGTCACTAGGCTAAGATAGTGCATCCTACTCTGTAGTTCATTTAGTTCTGCATGTTTTCACGATTCGCTGTTTGCAGCCAGCTGGGCTGAGCTGTCCTCCCATCCTGTCTCTGGTGAGAACTGCACTTTTCTCACTAGAACATTTCTTGGCAATCAATCTTTACCTGAATGAGAAGAAAAAACAAGAGCATATTTAATTTCAGGGTGTTTCAAGAGTGCAAATAGGAGAACACTTTGGTGGGAACTACAAAGGCTCAGGGAGTCATACAGAAGAAGTCATTGCAGGAAGATCAACTGGTGGAGGCAATCTCAAGAAACTTCTTTACATCTCAACATGTCCCACTTTCTACTAGACTGCAACAATGAAGTTCTCCAGTTGTAAACTGTATTTCTGTATCTCTCTCCAGGCTGCTCTGCTCCTTTTACTTCTTATCTTTTTACCCAATCCCATATGGGAGCATCTCTACCCCAAGAGGTAAGTCTGCTATGTAGACACTGGGAGTTCTATGAGGGACCTAATTAAATATCATTTCACAACTGGCAATTTGAGAATATGTATTTATTACTGTGGCCAAAAGTGAAATGAATGAAGTGCAGTTACATTGGAATTAGGAAAACAACAAAATCTTGGTTGCTGTGAAGTAACACACTTTAAACAGTCATTGTTTTGCTGTTTTTTTTTTGCAATATTTTATTAGATTACTAATAATATATATCTATATCTCTATATATAGAGATATAGAGATATCGATTGGAAATAACAAAGGAAAACTGTCATTATTACTTTGTAGTAAGCATACCTTCCAACTTTCTGAGATGAGAAAGAGGGACACCTTCCAGCACAATGTTTTTAAGCAATGGACACAACTCTGCCATGCCCCCAGATTTGTGGACCGTGTATATGTATTTGCCAAAAATGATTTTAATTGTTTTCTTTTTCAAAATGACTTTTCCTGTATACTGACCAAAAAGAGGAACTACAGAGGGGGAAAGAGGGACAGAGGGATTTGGTTCCAAATGAGGGACTGTCCCAGCAAATGAAGGACAGCTGGGAGGTATGAGTAAACCTACGCTTACTTAAACCAACCTATCACACACAAAAAGTTCCTGATTTTTTTTCTTTTCCTTGCATGTGATTGGGCATTAAACAGAACCAGAAATGAAAATTAATCCTTACATATGATAGATAACCATCATATTGACTTTTCTTGTTTTGTAAAATGACTAGAATAGTGATCATAAGGCAAACCAGATTGTTTTTCCACAACATAGTAAAGGCTAGCACGCAAATTCATGCATATGCAGTGGGAAGATTATTCCTTACATTTGTGGTCAGTGGGAAGAAAAAGTTCCTTACATTTGTGGTCAGTGGGAAGAAAAAAGTTCCTTAAAAACCATTTCATTGGTAGTCAGTAAGAAAAAAGCTCTCTGCATTGGTGATCAGTGGAAAAAAGAAAGCCCCTTTACATTGGTGGTCAGTGAGAAAAAAGCTCCTTACATTGGTGGTCAGTGAGAAAAAAGCTCCTTACATTCGAGGTCAGTGAGAAAAAAGCTCTCTACATTGGTGGTCAGTGGGAAAAAGAAAGCCCCTTTACATTGGTGGTCAGTGAGAGAAAAGCTCCTTACATTGGTGGTCAGTGATAAAAAAGCTCTCTATATTGGTGGTCAGTGTGAAAAAGAAAGCCCCTTTACATTGGTGGTCAGTGAGAAAAAGAACGTGTTCTGCATTCTAACCACTAACCTTCAATATAAGGAGCCTTTTTTTCTCATTAAAGATGTAAGGGACATTCTTCTCCCTAGATACAACCAATCTAAGAAGTAATCTTCTGGAGACCACTAATGTGAGAAGTATTCTTTCTCCCAGTGACCTTACATTGGTGGTCACTAGGAGGAGGCATTCTCTTCTTAAGGGAAAAAGAATACCCCTTACATTTGTGGCAATAGGGAATGACCCTAACATTCAAAGTCACCAGATAGAATGCCTTGTAAATTTGTAGTCAGTTGGAGAAAGAGTGCCCCTAACACTGATAGTGAGTGGAAAGCATTTCTTCCGGAGACTCTGGCTAATCAGTGTTGCCTACCTGGTCTTCAATCTGGCTGCCGGCGGGTTTTCTCTGGCTCCACTATTAGGCTGACGGGGCTGCATTACTACCCCTGTAAGCTAGGAACCAGAGCGGAAAAATGATGCTGGGGGAGGATGGGGCTGCCAGTAGGAGATGTGGCTGTACTCTCTTCTCCCCCATCTCCTCCCTCTGGTCACATGTGTCTCTCATACAGTCTACTTTGCTGTCTTAGATGGTGCTGCATCATCTGTTTTCACCTTGCTGAATCCCCACATTCTCCTATTCTCTTAACTTTGCAAGGAAGGGTAGCAGCATTATCATGTAAGTAATGTTTAATTTAGGTACAACTGTTATCATGTGTGTCAAACCCGTTTCCCGCCTGAGTGTATACTGAGGAGAAAAAAGCGTTCAGCGCCTCGGCCCTCTCCTTGTCTCCTTTCTTTTTTTTTAGTTTTGGATAGAGTAAAGTCAGATGGAAAAAAGTGCAACTGATTCCTCCATCTACGCTAAACTGTGTGGATGGAGGAATCTCCCACTGGGTCAAGCTTCAGTATCTTGCAAGACAGCCCCACTGGCTCCCAAAATACCTGAACAATGCCTGCATCCAATCAGATTGTACAGGTGTTTTGACAGCCAACGGGGCATAGCTGCAGTGCTATTGACTTCAGTGCAAAGCCACGCCCCCTCCCGCCCCCGAACACAGGGAACCGGCCGGGTTGGGATACAGTACTGTTCCAGAGGCTGACCGCTCTGTAACGCACTGTTTTATGGTGTGAACCGGCCCCGAATGAAGAAAAAGCTGTCAGCTTCAGACGTGCACGTCCCTGCTGCAAAGGTTAAGCACTTGTTTTTGTCTAGGTTCTAAAAAGTGGCTTTTGACTTCATCGGATTGCTGACATTATAGTGAATCAGGTTCAACTGACAACAATTAGAAGCAAAAACTGGCCAAAATAAAGGTGACCACACACCTTGCGATAATTGTACGGTAACCTCGGGAAATCCCGCGATCGTACGATTATCGTAAGGTGTGTGGAAGCCGTGTGACCTCTACTACTGTAAGGTTGCACGACTTTTATCTTACGACATGTTCGAAAACCCGTCGAGAATGGTACGATTTTTGGCAGGTGTGTAGCATGTTCGTAAGATAAAAGCCGGACGGGCCGGTGTGCGCAAGCGCACACTGCCCGTTCGGCATTGAGGTCATCGGAAGCCCACCCCTCAGCGGGGCGGGCTTGCGATCATCGCAAGTGCGATCTGCTTGTCCAAGATAGGCAGATCGTATGTGTTTTTAATTACCTTACAACCATGGCAAGACAAAAGTCTTGCCATGGTTGTAAGGTGTGTGCCCAGCCTAAAGATGTGAAAACTCATTTCACCTTTTAGTGAATTAGGACAAATACCTGCATGTGCGTGTATACGTGGTGATTGAGCGGTTGCTCCTGGTGTCCCAATAGCGGCAGACATACAGTAGATGACGTATATATGGATCTTGCCAAATTTTTAAACTGACTATAAATACGCCCAGAGTTCAATCACGCTAGGCAAATACTTGCTATCTGAACTGTACAGCAAATAGATGCTTGAATATGTTTGACTTTTGTCTTGTTTGGCTATTTACAATGTTATCTGTTCCAAAGATTGTCTGCGCAGATAAGATAACAGACAATGAATGAAATGCTGTCTGTAGCAAGTCATACAGTGCAAGAATAGTGCAACATGGCTTTGTGGCTCAAAAGTATCATAGAAAAACTGGGAATTTAAAAAAACTTACCCTTGCAATGGAGCTACCAACGCAATGCAAGGGTTAACGGCTCATTTTAAGTAGTAAAAGTTATACTCACCCGACTCCTCAGAGCCAGCAGCACTCCCTCCAGCCTCTCTACTCCATCACTGCAGCAATGGTGTGTCCCTCAGCATCCTCACATCCTATACACTGTATTGGACGTGATGACTCAGAGGACCTTAGGCCGCTGCAGCGGAGGGGGAGAGACGCCATATGAACTGGTTTCAGAGCCGGCCATCTCCAATGATCAGGTGAGTATAACATTTTTTTTTACCATAGGCAAAAATGAGCAGTTAACCCATGCAGTGCGGGGGTAGCCGCTGCAGCGGAAGTGATTAAATCATGGGCACTTCCAGTTTCAGTGAAAGTGTGCTGATTTCCTTTCTATCCAGCCGCTGACACCTGCTGCGCCTGCTGTCCCGGGCCGTCAGGGACCAGAATAGTCAGCGGAGGAGACATTCACTCTGAAGTTGCATACAAGTGATCGGCGGTTCTACATGTTAAAGCCAATAGTCTGCTGCAAAGCCAGGATCACGGCTGCTGTATAACCACTTCAGGGGCCACACCACTTACAGTATATATTATGTGTATTGTATCATATTCTGTTTATATACCGTACCTTTTTATGTGGTGTTTCTGATATTTTGTCAGCCTTGTGTGTTTAGTTTTAGTGCTGTAATAACTCATTGCTCAAACGTCATTCTAAATCAAATCACTTTAAACTCGGTATTATGCAGGTGGAACTGGGAGTTACAACTTAAGCTGAGAAAGCTAAATAGTGATCTTCAGAATTGATGATTCCAACCACCCGAGAAAGATGTGGGCATATTAATCTTCAAGACATAAGTCATGGGAGAGGACAGTACCATGGGTACCTGTATGCAGGTCTTGTAGTGAGGAAATCAGTATTGTACGGTCATTTCATGGATTGCATATTAGAGTGAAAGTCTAACTACAAAAAATGTTTTGCCACTTTAGTCATAAGCTGTCGGCATCCACCCAAAGTTCAAATGTCAGTTTTGGAAGAGTCGTGTAATCCTCTAGTTGGCCTTTAAACTGCTAATCTGACAGATCTACAGGACAGCCCAATGGCCAACTGAAGGAGCTCACACAGCAGGCTGACAACACTGCTGCTAATTGAGGTAGTGGCATAGAGTTGTCCGCCAAAGGGTTCGTTCACACCATAGTCAGTGCGTTTCGGTCAGAAATCGGACCGGAACGCACTGCCCGCATTGCGGTTGGCTCGAATTTTTTGCTGGGCAGGAGGGGGCGTGGCGGGCCATTGAAGTGAATGGCACCGTAGCCACGCCCTGCGGCCGAAATGTGATCGCCCGTACGGGAATCGCAAGACACATTGTGCCTGCAGTGCGTTCTGAGCGGTGCGTTCAAAATAGTGCTTGCAGCTTGCTTAGGAAAACTGTATACAGTGAGGCATGATGCCAAACATACCAAAACATAAATTTAGGGTATATTTAATGCTCATTAGTATCATAGATTCACTTTCAGGAAATGGCAATGCCTGCTGCAGGTACATTTTATTTGTGATTTGTGTCACATAAATTTTAGATCTGATCTCATATATAAAGAAGGGTTCTAATAGAAAGTTGAAAGGAAAATTCTAATAGTGTTGAGTCAGTTATTGTTAAACTATGGGGTAAGTGTTTTTCCCCACAGTTCTCTTTAGGGTCATGGACATATACTAACCTCCTCCCGTGACCCAAAGCTCAGTAGATCGCGGGAATACTGAGAGCACCGCAGCAGCGATGGATCCCGAAAATACTGTCGAGATCCACCCAGCTGCGAGTGACAACTGGCTCTGCCTATCTAGCTGTGCCCGCCTCGTCCCCTGTCCGTTCCTCTAGTCAGCGCCGGAGGATCAGAGAGGGGAGGGGGGGAATCCCTGACAGTCACCGCTCACTGCAGGGATATGATCGGAAAGTGAGTGAGCGACGGTATGTATTCGCTCATTTCCCGATCAATAGAGCCGACGTGTGACAGCTTCTTTGTCACAGGTTGACTCTAACTATAAGGATGAGTGGAAATTATTTATTTAGCAAACTAGCATTGCACCCGCCCTCTGCTGCAGTTCTCCATCAGGTCCACTACTGATTGACAGCAGCAGGGGGCGGGTACCGTACAATGCTAGTTTGCTATTGGCTATTGGAAATTAAAATAGACAATAGGAATCGAGCAATGCATTCCTATGGCCAAAAATGTGTTTTTTTTTCTATTCTGACACGGCTCAGTATCAGAATAAGAAAAAAAAAGAAAAAGCAGTGTTTCTCTCCTTGGCGGCCAAGAGCGGGAGACTGCCGGAGCACCCGGGAGAGTTAGGCTTTTTTCTTCTTTTTTTTGACGGCAGCAGAACCGCCGGCCAATAGAAAACTGTTTTTGCTAGCTCTGCACAATCGTTTTCTATTTTTATTTTTCTACTTTTTAAACTGTTTTTCTGTTCTGCTCGGTCCCACGAGCAGAACAGCCGAGCCGAATGCTGAAATCAGCCGTACCAGCCTGAAGTGAATAGCCGAACAGCGTTCCGCTCACTTCACTTCAGGTCGGTCTTTCACTTGGCTGCCTACGGCAGCTTTGTGAATAGACCCCATAATAATTTCAATAATAAATACAGGATTCACCCATGACAAGGGATTCCCAGAGCAGGGGAAGGCAACCTTACATTTGCAGTCCCGACGACCAGCTTTCTAAATGGAGTACACTCAGCTGTAAAGCTCTATGTGTCCTGGGAGGATAGGACATGTTGGAAAGGGGTCAGGATGGAGAGGTCATGGGGTGGATGGAGAGGGTGTCATGATAGAGAGTGGTGGGAGACCAGGTAACATCCATATGCTGATTTTCCCCATGTGTTGAGTAGGAACCTGGAAGTGCTTAGCTCTGGTCGGGTGACAACCCAATATTTTCTTTCACTTTCCATTTCAGTGATAATGAACACCAGGACAAATAAAGAGGGAGAATCTCTAATGGGGACAAAGAGCAATAAAAACCTGATGGTGTTCTAATCCATCTCTACTCTACTCAGTTGCACTATATAAATTATCCAAATCAGCTGTGTTGTCCTAGATTGTTCACTTCTCCTGCCTTCTCCAAACTCGTCACCCTTTTGTGAATAGATCCCTTGATGTTTGGGCTTTTAAATGCATTTTTAAAAAAGTCAATTTTAGTATGTGTGCGCAAAAAACAAAATACGGCAGCGATCCACTGCCAGTCATAGCCAGTCATTAATCCGGTAGCTAGGACCGCTGACGCCCTAGCAACCAATGGCGTCAGGTGTCCACCTGCTCTGCAGTCACTGGTTGCTAGGTCCACCAGCGGTCCTAGCAACCAGTGACGTCAGATGTGTTCCTCAGCATTACAGGAGGGCGGAAGAGTATCTTATTCCTTCCTTTCCTGCAACCTGCTGTACCTCCCAGGTCCCGCCTCTGGTTTACAAATTAAATAGTAAACTAAGGAATGTGGGGACAATAATACAAGGGTAATTCTAAAGGGGACAAACAATGTAAAGGGGCACTCTATTGGGGGCAATATCAAAACCGTATACTTTACTGCCTAAAGTGATAAACTTAATATTGAGCAGAATTAAAGTTCAGCATATTGGTTCGGCCCCCACAGCAGTCCCAGTTTCCCATGTGGCCCCTTGAGAAAAGGAATTGCCCCCCCTTGTTGTAACCACTTTTTTTTTTTTTCAGTGTAACATCAAAGAAGGAAAGCTCTTTACCTTCATTTGCGGTGGCCTATAAATTTGAAGATTATGGAGAATCAGAAGAAGCGTCTCCGAAAAGCAACACTGAAACACATTTATTCCAGAAAACCAAAACAATGTTTTCTATTCTTCCTACAACCAACACTGATCCACCAATAAAAATCATAGCCACAAAGACATTCACAGGCGAGAGAAAGACAAATCTCCCAACGACAGATAAAAACATCTTAGCAAGTCAAGAGCTGCCACTTCCAACTCAGCCTGCAAGGACCACCAGCAGATGGAAAGTCAAGTCCATGACTCTTAACAAACATGTTATAGTCATGCCACTTCAGGCAAAAAGTTTTACTGCTGAGCCCGAGTGGAAGATCGAGGAAGATTATATTCTGGATACGTCTGCCTCCAAGACCGTGAGTGCTGGTTACATAGCTGGATCATAGCTGTATCATGTGCCTTCCTCCAATTAAAGCTGAACTCCAGGATTTTAAAAAATGAACCCTTGCATTAGAGCTACCCCCACACTGCAATGGTTAAGTTCTCGCAGCCTCTTCTCCCCTGGGCTCCGGCGGCCTAAGGTCCCATGATGTCATCACGCCTTATGCATTCCATTAGAAGTGCGGACATCGTGGGACATACCAAAGTGGAGGGGGAGAGGTGGGCGTGCACTGCTGCAGGAACGTGGAGCAGGTGAGTATATCTTCTTTATTTTTGTCCCTAGACCAAAACAAGAACTCCATGATTTTGGAAAATTAACCCTTGCAGTGGGACTACGCCCTCACTGCAAGGGTTACATTTTCAAAATCCAGTTCATCTCTAAAAAGAAAATTCCGCTTTTTGCAAAAAATGTATAAATGCTAATTTCTTCATAAAAGAACAAAAATGTGCATGTATTATTTCTTTTATGTATAAGAGTGAAGCATTGCAAAAAGGGAAACAAGCCTGTGGGGAGAAGAGTTCCACAATTTAGGTAAGTGGAGAGACGGGTTTGGGGTTTGGGATCTGGCCAAGCATTCATGAAGGATGGTCATGGCAGGAGACCTGATTTTACTCTGCTGCAGTTAAATAGCACTGCTGCTTAGACTGTAGTGATCACAATCCATGCGAGGATTGAGGTACGTACACTGCTTGCATATAAAAACGAATAGATTTATTTATATGGTCATAAATACAGAACTCCATTAAAGCGTATCCAAACCCAAAAAGTAAAAATATAATATATTGCAGCGTACCGATCCTTAGATGTGGTGGTTGCATTAGTTTTCCTTTATTTTCACCTGGTGAACCAGCCAGTAGGTTTATTTTTCAACTTCCTTTAACAGGACAAGCTGTCCAGCAAGCGTGGCAACTACAGGGTTGAGATAAACCATTTAACACTGACAGGGGTGAATACAATGGTCGGCTCTTATTCTCTTTTTATAGAAGCAGGGGGGTGAGACATCTATTGTCTGCCACATACAATGCTGTTTTAACACCTCTCTCTGGGCAGGTTAATAACACCTCCTAGACTCCAATTATGCAAATGCAATCAACACCTGGTTGTGACTAACAGATTATGTGGATTGGATCAACATTCACCATATTTATTTCCAGATATTTAGTCATTCTGAATTGAGAAAGCTGGTTGGATGACCAGTGAAACGTCTTCAAGAAAAATACAGCAAATCCAGTTGCCTTCACTTATTTTTTACAGATATATCTAAAGACGATTGTATGATCAGATTGTAATATGTGTGGCCAGCTACATAAATGATACTGACACTTTCATCACTGGATAAACAAAGGTTAATGTATACCAGTGATAGGCGACCCCATCACGCCAGCTGTTGTGGAAGTCCAAGGCATTGCAAGGTTCTGACAGCCACAGGCATGACTCCCAGAGACAAAGGCATAATGGGATTTGTAGATTCAGAGCAGCAGGAGTGCCAAAGTTGCCTACCCCTGGTGTATACATTCCGTTGTCAGAATGAGGTCATTGTTTGTCATAGAAGGGCAGACAGTTGTTCCATGATGTAAAACTGAGATTCCACTTGACAGCATGTTTTTTTGTTTCTAGTGCCTGGAAATGAGGCTCCATGTAGCTGTCAACAAGAGCCTGTAACATCATTGAAGCTTGCTTAGTTTTGTCACAGTTACACTTGAATGCTTAAAGTGACATTAAACCCTCAGATTTTTTAACATAAACCAATACTGTAATCCATGGTTGTTTCCCTTCTCTTTGCTTAGAATACAGATACAGATTTAAAAGGAAGAGCAGCAAAGAGAAGGGAAACAACCATGGATTAAAGTAAGGCACACATTACAGTATTGTTTTATGTTAAAAAATCTGAGGGTTTAATGTCACTTTAAATATAACTGTTAGGCAGTCATCTTTGTTATCCTCCATGTGATTAGATCTTAGCCAATAGTGTAAGTGTCTAGATCCCTGGTGCCAACACATTGTCCAAGTACCACATGTTGCCCACCGGCACTCTGTGTGTGGCCTACCACCTTTTGGCCCATGAAACCCAAAGACAGAGTTCCAGATGTGCTAGCTGCATGTTGGAGTGCGGTACAGAGGTGCCCAGTATTTACTTAACTTGTAAAAATCACCTCAGTTTAGCCAATCAGGAGTGGAGGACCTCTTCAACCAACAGGACTGCAGTAGTCTCACAATGGCTCCACCTTCTTTCTCAACCTCAGTAGAGCACGGAAAATCACCCAGGGTGACTGATGGCTTGGTGGGGGCACTTTGACAGATAGGGGGACACTGTAAATGGAGAGAGGCACTATGACTGACTGATGGTGGAGGTGCTATGGCTGATGGAGGAAGGTGCCATTGCTAATCGGAGTAATTGCATAAGCAAGCTCAATGTCATTCAAAATTTTAATGATCATAAACCTATGAGAATGTTGTCGTTGTGCTAATTCTGTCTGCCCAAACCCCACTTGATCTTAATGTAAAATTAATGTTTTACATAAACAGATTATATTTTCCTTGGTTCTTTTGACATGTTGGGGGCTCCACTTGAGGCCCCATATAGTTATTAAGTTTACCACCACTGGTGTAGGTTGTAAACATTTGGCAATATACATGTATGGAAATATCTGGTAAAGATCAGCTTGTGACGTCAGCTGTCTCAAAATGAACCAGACAAGATATAGAACATCTTTTACTGGTACTCTATCCAGTGAGCATATACAGTATAATAGACCACATAAATATATAAAAGAAACAGAATTTTATTAAAACAAAAATTAAAACTACAGTATATGTTTGAAGGCTAACTTGTTAGCCTGGATTTGTGGGAGGAGTCTGCATCCCCACAGCTCTTTTAAGTTGACCACGCAGGCTACCTGGGAGGTGAGGTGTTCAGTGTAACCCTCCCGCCCTTCCCCCTCTTTATACGCAAATTACACAATCAGAGTATGCCCCCCTTATTGGCATCACTGTCCACCCGGACCATGGCACACCTCAGGTCAGTATGTTATTATCGTTCCATTTGCAGGTAAGCAGACTCCGAAGACACACACACACACACACACATATATATATATATATGTATATATATATATAACAATCTGCATTGACTTGACCTCTCAGGCTTAAAACCTGTCCAGTATTCCTTCCCCGAATGTCATCTGAGGTGATTATCTACAAGTACTATGGAAGATACATATACCGTGGCTTTTTCCCTTCAAGGTCTCTTAGGGGAGAAGGGGAGGCCATAGACTCTTCAGATTTCATGGGTCAAGGCCCCTTTCTTCAGGAGATGACATAAACCATCATAACTAGTTCAATACAGTCAAAGACAATATACATTACATATAACATTATTGGTAAAGAATACACAAAACATTGTTACCTATTGCTGGAAAAAAAACTGTATATACTCCACTGCAGAGAGCCCACAAGGAGTGTCAGAGCAACGGGCCTCAGGGGACCAAAAGAAAGAGCAATCTGCAATTCTCAAACTTCCGAACCTAAAAGGAAACATGCGCATGTATTATTTGTTTGCATTGTGGCCAGTAAAGCATTGCAATTTTGATCAGTAGATCGCAGGTGTAATGCCATGGCTCCGGTAGATTCTTCCTTCCTTCCATGTCTGTACCTCGGTACAAACATTCAGTAACATAGACGGGAGGAAGCAGGCCCGGATTCCCCACAAGACCACCGATGCCAGGCCTCGGGGGTGCAGGGCGCCGAAGGGCCGCAGCGGCGTGGAGTCCCCCGACGCCCGGAACATACAGTTCCGGTCGCCTGTTGGGGGGAGGGGGCGCATTGCCGAACCTGGCCTTGGGGCGGCAGGGAGAGCAAGGCCGGCCCTGGGAGGAAGAATGAATGGAAAATTTCTGTTCTGAAAAAGGTTTGCTTTTTCCCAGAGATAGGCTTTAATAATCCACTTGGTAAAATGTATATTTAGTGCCACTAGAGGGCAGTCTATTACAGCTTATTCACAGATCCATAGAGTCCTGCAAAACTTACAAACATAAACAAATTATCAAATGCTATGTCTCCATGTCTGTTTATAACCTCCATGCTGCACAGAGTGTGTGTGAACATCTGTAAATAATAACATAATACTTAATTATGATAAACACATTATCACACTGGTATATATATACTTATGCCGGTATATATGCATACCTTGCTCAAGCCTTAGCCCCCCATCAACATCTGTAGTGTAACTGCACGATTTTGTGCGGTTAATACATGCTATTGCACAGGGCACCTAGTGTGCATTAGGTACACTGCGGGGCCTTTTATTTGAATGGCCAACACACCTCCCATCATTGGTGCACTGTAATGCACAGTACCGTAACACCTTGCATTGCGGTGTAGTGGAGAAAAAGTAGTGCGTGCTTATGGTACCACTTGTTGCACTGTGTAGCACACGGTGGCCGGTAGTTGCATTGGGGTGCCATCAGGGCCGGATTTACTCTCTCTGCTGCCCCAAGCCAGGTTCCTCAGTGTGCAGGATGCATACAAGTGATCTCGGAGCCATTGCCGAGATTACTTGTTGAAAACAAGCGCCGGCTTCCCCGCTGTACATTTAGCCCCGCTTGCACAAAGCAGGGCTAAATGTAGAAAACAACTACCCGCCCGGCGCCGGAACTGCATGTCCTGGGCATCGGGAGATAGGAATTCCACACCCCTGCCGCCCCTCTACTCCCTGCTGCCCCGAGGCTGGGCCTTGGTTGGGCTTGTGGGAAATCCGGCCCTGGGTGCCATTCAAACGAATGGCTTTGTAACAGGGGCGTAACTAGAAATCACAGGGCCCCATAGTAAAAGTTTGTATGGGGCCCCGTGATTGCTAGTTATGCCACTTGCAGAGCCCTCCATAGACTCTCTATAGTGGGCTCTGCAAGGTCTCAGTTGCGCTGCACGCCTCTTACCTGTCACCTCTGTGGTCGCCGCCGCGCCCCTGCCGCCTCTTCCGTTCCCGGGCTCCGCCTCCTTCTATCGACGGGCCCCGCCTCCTCTTACATCACTGGCCCCACCTGCTCTTAGATCGCTGGCCAGTGTTGTGAGAGGAGGCGGGGTTGCTGTTAGGCGGGCCCCACCTCCTTCTTTACTGCATCTGCTGGCTGTCACTGACACAGCTCCGCAGCGGCTGTGAGGGGGAATGTTCTCCTTCACAGCTGCTGCTCAGCTATGTCAGTGACAGCCAGCACGCGAGACGCCATAGCTACCCAGGCGACCCACACGG